TCGAATTTGCTTTGAGACGTTTTATATAATTTTCAAATTATATTTTAATCATCTATATAATATAAAGTAATATAATATAATATAAATTATCTAAATAATATAAAGTAAAAGAACAAAAACAAAAAAAAATGTTATTGCTTATGATATATTTTTAAATAATAACAGATTTTTATACTTTATTCCAATTTAATTTGACAAGATATCTCATTGACTCTGGCATAAAGTAAACTATAAATTCAGCTTTAGCTTTTGTTAAATACATTTTTTTTTTATTTAATTATATTATATTATGATATAACTAAAATAATAATAGTAATATATTATTTAAAATACCAAATATTTATAATTAAATTTTTTAATATTAAAATTTTAGGCAGTTTTACTAGTGTATGACATTACAAATCATAACAGCTTTGAGAATCTTCAGGATTGGTTGGGGGTTACTAGACAAGTATTTAATTCATCTAATAAACCTCATCTGGCACTTGTAGCAAATAAATGTAAGAATGTAAAATCTATTTATTTTATAGAAATAAAACTGTATTTGTTTATTAAAAAACTATTATTATTAATTTACATTAATTAATAAAATTTAAAATTATTTATTTAATAATATCAGATAAATAACATTTTATTTATTTAATGTTTTAATTTTGAGAACATTCTATAAGTCAATGATTTAATCCATAATATATATAATAATAAAATTAACTTAATAATCTGTTTTCTCTCTCCATAATTACTAATGAAAAATTTTCAATATTTTATATAATATAAATCAAGAACAAGTAATTACTTTATTATTTGTTGAAATATTTAATTATTATACAGAATTATTATTTTAAAAAAACCGTATCTTATTAATGACTTAATATTTTGAGAATTATAATTTATAAAATTATTATTCCTTCTGTTATCAAGGATAAATTGAAAAATAACAAGTGTGACATTGATTAGTGGTGCTTCAAAAATATTTCAATGTATTTTATTTGTTTTCAGTTACATACTTCTCATTGTAATTTAAATACAAAATAAGTACACTTACTATTTAAATTGATAATTTTTGTTGATAGCTAAACAGTATTTAGCTATCAACATTTGTTCTCAAACACTTAGGGCAAGTTTGCAGAACACAAGTGTTCCACAAACTTGCCTTAACCTAAGTGTCTTACAAAAAAAAGGGGGGATTTGAACATATTACTTTATTTGTAGACAATTTCACATTTACTATTTCATTCAATATGGGTCCTCGTTTAACATGGTTAACTAGGACCAAAAACTAACAATTTTAAGTGAATCTACATAAAGTGAGGATCATACTTCATATAAAATCATATGAAAAATATTTAATTGAGACTTGAATAAAACAAAACCAAATGAAAAATGTGAAAGAAAACTTTCACATTTTACAAATCCCTATTTACACATATGTAAAATATTTATTATTATTATTATTGAATATCAGAAATTATTTATATTATTTACAACTGAATTTTAGAAGGTCCAGGTTGTGTTTCATTATTTTCACTGACTGCTGAGTTTTGATATATGAAAAATGAATGTAATGTATGCTGTTTCCTGCAGTTTATTTTTTCATTTAATATTGTTTTATTATAAAATAATAATATCTTATTATAAGATACTATCTTTCATCCTGCACTCAAATTTTTCTGTACATTCACAAACTGGATCACTTTTAAGAAAACAATTATAATGAATACTTGTTAAATGAAGACCCCTGTACAATAAAGTTTTAGTTTATTGCCTTATTGTTTTGTGAGAATAGTAAACATTGTTTTGGATATCGATTTTTGAAAATATGAGGCTAATGCTCTTTGTGATAAAAAGTATACAATTGATGTTCTACAGCCTCAGAAAGGTTGAGATCCACTAGTCTAATATAAAAGTTACTTTAAACTGACATATTTATTTTATATATTTATGATAGCTTTGTGAAATAAATATAATGTTTCAACCAGAAGAAATATATCTTGGGGGAAAAAATACATATTTAGATTCAAAAACAATTTTTGCTCCATCTACATTAAAACTGTTCACATTCTTAGATTAAATAACTCTAATCTAAATTTAAAATTCAATTTACAAAATTTCTTTAAATAAATTTCCCAAAAAATTGACTATATTTTTAAACATTAAAATTTGTTAGTATATGCAGGATATTGTAAAACAAAAAATTTCTAGTTCATGAACATAAATTGTCCAAAATGACTGGTTTTTCAAATTTACTTTTAGATTATTTTGTATTACAAAAGATCATTTTAATTTAAAAATTAATGTATGTAAAAGAAGTTTTATGTAAAAATTAAAAATATGATTTTATTAGAATTTTTAATTGATAATTAAGATTAATAATGAATATTCATCAAAAAATTTTAAAATCTGAATGCAGGTGATCTAGAACATATGCGAGCTGTTAAATTAGACAAACATTTAAAATTTGCTCAAGATAATGGTATGTCTTCTCATGCTGTATCTGCTAAATCAGGAGATTCAGTAAGTATAGACTGAATGTACTGTGAGATTCCATTAACTTGGCATTGTCAGGACTGACATGGTGCCAGATTATTAAATATGCTGCCTTATCAAAGCCTTAAAGTATGCTGCCTTATCAAATGGTGGTTTTTTTTTCCTTGGACACAATTTTATATACTCTCACATGTAAAACTGTACAAATCTGCCTTTTATGATTGTTTAAAATGCCATTTCAATTTTTCCAGACTATTCCTACCATTGGTTGGTTTGAAACAAGAACACACTATTCTTACTTTGTGCTTTGTACACTCTTATTGTGTGTAAATACAGACACATGCCAATTACTAAGGTACAGGAACAGTAACATACTGTAGCTGTTTCTGTAATAATTATTGATTCCAAGTGTGCTAAATATTTCTGCTTCTCGTATTAAACCCATGCACTAATGTCTTAGGAAAAGTCTTTAAAAAATCATGCACAAGCTAACCATTTTACCTAACACATTGCCATGTTATCTTTCTAATGAGCCATTGCAAACGTGTCTCTAATGTTTACTTGCTTATGCAATTGTTCCTTTTTGTGTAAAAATTGTTTAACACAATATGAAGGTTTATCAGTTCTGATGCATTGTTATGGCTGCTGTTCTCTTCAAATTCAACAAAATTTGTAATGAATTCAGATGACTGCTGTCATGTGTATNCAAAAAAAAAAAATTTCTAGTTCATGAACATAAATTGTCCAAAATGACTGGTTTTTCAAATTTACTTTTAGATTATTTTGTATTACAAAAGATCATTTTAATTAAAAAATTAATGTATGTAAAAGAAGTTTTATGTAAAAATTAAAAATATGATTTTATTAGAATTTTTAATTGATAATTAAGATTAATAATGAATATTCATCAAAAAATTTTAAAATCTGAATGCAGGTGATCTAGAACATATGCGAGCTGTTAAATTAGACAAACATTTAAAATTTGCTCAAGATAATGGTATGTCTTCTCATGCTGTATCTGCTAAATCAGGAGATTCAGTAAGTATAGACTGAATGTACTGTGAGATTCCATTAACTTGGCATTGTCAGGACTGACATGGTGCCAGATTATTAAATATGCTGCCTTATCAAAGCCTTAAAGTATGCTGCCTTATCAAATGGTGGTTTTTTTTTCCTTGGACACAATTTTATATACTCTCACATGTAAAACTGTACAAATCTGCCTTTTATGATTGTTTAAAATGCCATTTCAATTTTTCCAGACTATTCCTACCATTGGTTGGTTTGAAACAAGAACACACTATTCTTACTTTGTGCTTTGTACACTCTTATTGTGTGTAAATACAGACACATGCCAATTACTAAGGTACAGGAACAGTAACATACTGTAGCTGTTTCTGTAATAATTATTGATTCCAAGTGTGCTAAATATTTCTGCTTCTCGTATTAAACCCATGCACTAATGTCTTAGGAAAAGTCTTTAAAAAATCATGCACAAGCTAACCATTTTACCTAACACATTGCCATGTTATCTTTCTAATGAGCCATTGCAAACGTGTCTCTAATGTTTACTTGCTTATGCAATTGTTCCTTTTTGTGTAAAAATTGTTTAACACAATATGAAGGTTTATCAGTTCTGATGCATTGTTATGGCTGCTGTTCTCTTCAAATTCAACAAAATTTGTAATGAATTCAGATGACTGCTGTCATGTGTATTGTTATTTTCCATTTGGTTTGTCCTCATCTTTGTCTTCCATATCTTGGGCTTTTGTGAATTATTTATCACTTTCAATGATTGCATCATTTATCATAGTTTCTACAACTGATTCTTCTATGTCCTCATTCAGCCATTTTTCAGTTTCCAAAAGATTTACAATTGCATTTTGCTATAGGATGCTTTCAAGAATGTGCTATCAGATGTTACGTCAAACACAGATGTCTTCAGCAGACATTTCTGGATTTCTCTCTCCGGGTCATTGTTTTTTCCACAAATTTTCAGCATGATCTCCTTTACTGTTGTTCCATGCCAAAGCAGCAGCATAAACAGCATCCTTTATTATTAATTAAAGACAGTCTGCCCAAAAAGGAACCACCATTTATTTTTTGTGTTCCAAAATGGTGGCTCCTTTTTGGGCAGACTGTCTTTAATTAATAGTAATAATCTCCATTAGACGAAAATTTACAAAAAGCATCCTTTATGTTGAGTCTCAGAAATAATTCAACAAGTCTGCAATTTCTGTTTACAAACTTTCAAAGAAAATACTCCCCTGTATGTCATGTTAAAATTCTGTATGATATCCTCATCCATAGGTTGTATCAGAGATGTCACATTTGCAGGAAAGTACATTGCAGAAATGTTTCTGCAAACAAGCTAGAACCAAAGGATGAGCCCAGCAGTTGTCAAGCAGGAGAACAACTTTGCTATCTTCTGATAGCCCCATCCTTTTCAAAATTTTCTCTAACAGCAGGAACAAAGTGATAGAAGAACCAAATCTTGAAGATAGTTGCTGACATCTAACCATTAGTTCATGCATCATATGTGACTAGATTTGCCATATTGTTAAATGTTCTTGATTTCTTTGATTTTCTGATCACAAGCATTGTCATCTTATGCATTCCAGAAACATTTACACACACAAACACAGTGATACAATCTTTGTTCATTTTAAACCCATACGCGATCTTTCCTTTGCCACCCAGTGTAGAATTTGGCAAACTGCCAGAAAGTCTAGTTTCATCTGTATTGTAAAGTTGAGATGGTAACAAACCATTTTCTTCTACTAAAGTCTCAAATGTATTTCTGTTTTCTTCCACAGAAAACTGTTCCTCACTTATGTCCAATTTACAAATTCCATTATTTATTTATTTAGTTAGTGTATGGCTACACATCTAATTGACAAAAAGAAAGAACACAAATCATAAATGTAAGTCTAAGTTAGAAATATAGTTTAAAGCACTTTCAGTCTCTCAATTGTCCTGGAAAAGATCTTACTGGACAATCTTCCAAGATATGATGTATAGTCTGTTTTTCCGCACCACAGTCACACTGTGGGGATGCAACTTTTCCCCACCTAAAAAGACTGTCCCTGCACAATCCATGTTTGTTCCGAATCCTATTTAACACACTCCACAGATTTCTGGATAATTCAAATCCAGGTAGTCACTTTGTGATACAAGGAAGTTGTCGACTGTCCACTGGAGAGACATCAGCCCAGACCCTTTTCCAAGATTCAGTGAGGTTGAAATTATTGGAATGCAGGGATTTAGCTCTTATCAGAGGGGGGTGTCTTGATTTAAGTCGATTTATGCTGAGGTCTTCAATATCCTGATGGATCGGGAGTTGTGGATTAGACAATATTTTCCCATATTCCCTGAGCAGAGTGCTGTCCCTTCAGAGTACAGATGGAGGGATATGGCTCAAAATAGGTAACCAGTGAATAGGAGTGGATTTAAGAGTACCTGTTATGATACGTAGAGTAGTATTTAGTTGGGCATCCAGTTTTTTAATGTGAGTACTGTTCATCCATACTGGTGCACAGTATTCTGCTGCAGAGAAAACCAGGCCAAGAGCAGAGATCCGTAAGGTGGACGGCGAAGAACCCCATATAGTTCCACATAGCCTTTGGAGGATGGTTTCTGGTATTAACCTTGGCAGCCAAATTCATCAGATGTGTTTTAAAAGATAAAGTTCTATCCAATACAAATTCCATGTGTGTCTGAAATTCTGTAGCCATCCATCAGAAAACACAGTTCTGCAATGTTCAATTCTTTATAAAATTCCTTTGCTTTTTCAACAAGCATTGGTCCATTGACTGGTTTTCCTTCTAAATGCTTCACGCTGAACCACTTGACTAAAGCAACAACATCAAACTGTTCCCTTTTCAGTTTTCATAATTATAGTCATCCTTCAGTATGTTTCATCAATGCTTTACTTTAGGCAACAAAGGCTTCTTTATGCCATAAAGAATGGAAGATCCAATGTTAAATTGGGCTATAATAATGTTTTGATTCATTCTCTTTGCTATCGTTTTCAGAACTTCTAATTTCTGTTTAACATTTAGCATAACCTGCTTTTGTTCTGTTTTTTTTTCGGTGTCATCAACACCCTTGACAATGCCATGGCCCACGCTAATCCAGTGAACTAACACCTTCCTTCACAGAATCTCTGAAAGAACTGAAAGGCCAATTGAAATCCAGGAGAAGAAAAGATGAAGTATTCTTGGAATTGCAAGAGTTGACAAACCAAGAGCATGCCACAGAACAATAACAGCTTTATAATGGTCATCCCAGATATGTAGCAAAGCTGCACATGCAAGACTTACCATTCTGGACCCATGCTGAGTCATCTTCCTTTTAATACTTCAAACAAGACCAAAAGACACTTTGTAGATCTATACCACCCAAAACTCTTTCTCATCATATTTTCAAGAAAATGTTACAAGACTAATGCTACTGGTAACTCAGAAAATCTTAATTAGTGGTACAGTACACATCTGTTCAGCAGGGGTATGGCATTTGGCATCTATGAAAGCAAAACCCACACCCCTTTCTAAGAACTGCACATTTTGAGTGCTTTTACACAAAAATTTTAACTCCCCACCTACCCAGTGCACTGATAACCCCTAACAATAAGCTTGACATTGCTTGCTTAGATTTACCAGCATATTGGATGCGAAGTTAATGGAATTTCACTGTAATTACTTTTCTAGTTTTCTGTAATAATTTTGATTAAGAAATTAATTTAAAATGAATAGCTTCTAATATTAACAGTGTTTTTTAATTTTAATTAGGTTGCATTATGTTTTCAAAAAATAGCAGCGGAGTTACTGGGTATTAGATTGTCCCGTTCCGAACAAGAAACCGTTCAACCCGTAGTCAAAGCAGAAATTGTCCAACCTCTTAGTGCTTCAGAAGCTCAGCGTCGTGCTATTAATCAGCCAATCAAAACTACTATATGCAGATTGCAATAAGTAAAATGTGATAATTTTTTATAAATAAATGAACAAAAACAAATATATTTCAATAAAGAAAGAAAGAAATTATTTTAGGTTTGATTAATTTAAGCTTTACAAATATTTATTATTGCATACAATCTTTTCATTACTGTTACATATTGAATGTATTAAATATTATTTTAAGATTTTATAACAATGATTCAGTTTTAATATTAACTTAATTTTGCTTAAAATATTTAAATATTATATTTAATAAGATACTATTATTTATTTATTAATTACTAAATCAGAGTAATTATTTGTTTAAGTTATTTTATAAACTTGTCTGTTTCAGATCTTTATACTATTTATTTATTTATTTTTGTATATACAGTTTAGTTTTTGTTACATGGCACATTTTGCTGTTATGCAAATCTGTTTAGACAGAATTGCATTTGCAAATCCATCCATTTGGTCTGCCAACTAACCAGTTGTTGACCTTTTGGTCATTCGTCACTTTTTATATTTGTCTTTTAAATTTTAGTTTGCACCATATTTAGAAATCAAATCAATGGAATGGAATCAAATAAAAAAATATATATATTTGTATTAAATTATTAAAATAATTTATTTTTCATCAAAAATAACACCCAGATGAATGATTTTAATAGAGAAACAATCAACAAAAAATTTCAAATATTTGCTTTAATAAACAAAAAACTATATTTTCTTATTCTAACAAATAATACATTCCTGGCCAAAATTTTTAAAATTTATCTTTCATTGACTAATTTATTTAACTTATTTAATAATTCAGAGGTGGGGAACCTGCAACTTCTTATGGATTCTGCCGTGTACCATTAAAATAAAAAATAGTATAAGGTAGTAAACAGTGTTTTTGGGATCCTATTTCCTTCATTCTTCATGTAAATTAGCTAAAAATATATACTTTAATAGTTTTTATTAAAAGAAAAAGATTACAAAGTAGGTTTGCCCTTATAGTTAGAAAGGTTTTCCCACTTCTCTAATGGCCTATCTTAAATATTCTCTAGTGTATAAAAAAATTAATATTTTAAAATATATGATTTTTATTAAAATTAATCAATCATATTTTTTATTTCAAACAATAAAATCAGTTCTTACAATATGTTAATAAATTAGATGAAATAATATAATATTGAAACTTCCACTGCATTGATATTTTATTTGCTAGTCAATAAATTTTATACAATTTGTGCCTTGTGATAAGCACTTTAGTTCCTAACTATACTGTTTATTTTCTTTTACTAAGTATTTTACAAAACATTTTTATTTCACATCAAAACTTAGTAATGAAATTAATGATAAATATATGTTCAAATCCGTCCATTTGAACCATTGAAATTATATAAACAATAAATAATACCAGGGATATTTGAAAAGTTCCTGGAAAATGTAAATAAAAAGATGACAGCTCAAATTTAGCACTTTACTTTTTGACGTACATTCCATTTAAGTTAAATCATTTTTCCATACTGTATCACTACTCTCCCCAAGCCATTCTGTAGAAATCTGTGCTCTTTGATTCTAGCCACTGCACTAAAAAATGTTCTGCTTAATGTATTGATTGTCACTGAATGCCTTTTAATGCTATTTTAAACTTGCTATTTAAAACTATTTTTTAAAATTAAAAATAAAAAAAAGTCTGATGGGCCAGATACGAATACCTGATAAAACAAGTCTTGTTGAGTTTATGCTCGCATTAATTAATTATAAATTTAGCATTCTGCTTATGAATAATAACCATTTTCCGGGAACTTTTTGAATGCCCCACATATATACAAGCAATATTTTTCATGTTTTTTTGTATTAATCATTATACCATTAAAAATTAATAGTTATTAAAATCAAACTATTTTGTGCATTTACATAACAGTGAATTTTAAATTAAGTATGATTTAATTATAAAATTTGCATTTTGATTTGTTAGCACTTTATTTTTTTCAAATTTTTAATTTTTTTTTTATCAAGAGATACATTTTTATAGAATTCTAAATAAGAATATTCAAAGCAAAAGTATCATGTATGAACCATTCATTGATATAAAATACATAACAATTGATTTGATTTCACCATCAAATATAATTTTTAAATATCTAATTATTAATTTATTGTTATAAATGTGAATTTTATTGAGTCATGTAACTAAATTATGCAAGTTTATTGAGTCATGTAACTAAATTATGTAAGTTTAATTTATATATTAATGATTAATATATAAATTAGTGTATTATATCCAAAAGTGCACTTCACAAAGTTTAGTATTAGATTTAATTATGTATAAACTTTATATATACAGTAAAACCTGTCCAAACCAGAACTGTATCATACCAAATATTTTTTCCAGTTTGGCAGGTTTCCATTTTGCACTTTTTTTTTTTTTTTAACATAGAAAATTGCTCTGTTTTGAAGATTTTTCTCATTTAGGCAAGTTTCCACTTTACTTGGGTTTCTTTTTGGACAGGTTTTACTGTATAAGTTTTATTTATTTATTTTTTTATAGATAATTATATACAGAGCATGTAATAATTAATAGAAATTAAGATTTGTCTGAGTGCAATAACAGTTTCAAATATTATTTTTTAACATTTAAAGAATTTTGTTTTACAAAATACAAAAAAAACATAAATCAAAATATCACTCTTTTTAAGAGGCCTTATTCCATCCAAGTACAAGCATCTAAGCATAACATTCAACGTCACTTAATTTTGTCCGTCATATCATTCCTATTGCCTTACAAATCATTTATATATGGTAGATTATGTAAAGCACAAGTGTTTAGGTAATGTGATCATTAAACTGAATCTCTTCATTCTCATTCCAGATTTATTATTTTAAAAAATTACAACACCAAAACACATTTTTGTACCCAAGTATATCAACTATTATTGTACTCTAAACAATAATTATAAATTATGTTGCTGTAATTTAACAAATTTTAATTGTGCATGTTTATTTAAATGCAAAATATCTGTATAAAATGCAGTACAAATGTTTTTTATTTTATTTTAATATAGTAATAAGTCAATATTTATTATTGAATTTTATTAGTAGAATATATACAGTATTAATATAAACTTCACAATATTATGTATAGTACATTACGCTTGTGATCAGTTTGTAAGAATAAGTACAAATTTATTCGTTTATTTTATATTTTTCCTTATCTGTAGAGGAATTTTTTGCATTATATTATAATTATTCAGCATTAAAAAAATTAATTTGAAATATACTAAACAACAAAGTGTTATTGTCATCTATAACTGTCCAGAGCAGTATCTTGTCAAAATAGAATGTGATAAAAAAATTCAAACAGGTAAATGCTTAAATTATGTATAAAGCACAGATGCTTAATACACTTTCTTAAATGTTAAAAATTAGACATAATGCTTGTTTTTAATTTTATAACCATGTTTTTTAATAATTGTGAGTTGAAGCACCTCTCGTACGATGCCTTTTAGATTAAAATTGAATAATTTTAATTTAGAAATGTAGAATATTAGTACTTAGAAATATATTTTGTGTGTATTCTATGTAAAAAAAAAATTGTTTTTGCAAACTTTTGTACTTAAAATATTTTGTATTAGAATTGATTTTTCGATATCTTAGTGCCAACAATAGTAGAAATTTTGATGTCCTGCCAGAATTATATTAAAAGATGTTTAATTAAATTGTTGAATTTTTATTTATTGTAAGATTGTAATGATTCACATTACATTAGAGGAAAATTATGGAAAAAATTAAATTTTTTATAATAAAATTTCAAATAGAATTTCGATAACAACCATAATTTTGTTCAGAGGGTTACTCATATAAATTTAAATAGAAAACTTAACATTAAAAAAACATAACCTTTTAAATTAATTTACATATATTTAATATGACAATCTTGTCATAATATGCTTCAATTGCCACTGTCTATCCAAGGACAGTAAAAACAAAATTGGAGACAATAAAGGCCTGAAATATAAAGATTCTCCTTGGTACAAACATATTTTGTTAAATTCAATACAAGAGGATAATCTTAAGATCTTAATAGATGATATAGTGTTTGTGAATATATTTAAAATGATTTTTTAGAATTTTATGAAGTACATATGTAATTTTATTATAAATTATTGTAGTAATCCTTTTTACCACAAGTATCAGGTGTTCTGGTATTGTTATAATGTCAGAGGTGTTGTTTATCTAAGACTATTGCTATAAACTTCTTGAATGTTTTGTACTTTATTTAAAATTTTACTTATATTGTACTAAAATAATTTGTACATTTTATTATTTTAGAAATGAAGAGGGCTTAAATTTGATAAAGCCAAAATGCATTTTGATAATTTATAAAAGAAGAATATCATTAATTTTAAATAAAGGCATTTTTATTGTCCTCAGATAGACAGTGGCAATTGAAGCATATTATGATAAGATTGTCATATTAAATACAGTATATGTAAATTAATTTAAAATATTTAGTAGCCACCCTGTAAATATAAGGCAACTTTACTATTTGTCTTACTTATTCTGTTTAAAAACATCTTTATTTATATTATAAAATCCAAAATTATAGGAAATGTAGAAATTAATGTTCTTTTTAAATTACTGATTAAAATTTTTCTTACAAGCAAAAACAGGAAAATTATTTTGTTTTATAAACAGTGAAAATTCATTTTAAACATTAATCAAATTCTAAAAAAAGATTGTTAATGAACTTTAGATAAAGTGAAATCTTTGTACTTAAAATTTTGTTACATCTGCCATAATGATATAGCAGAATCACTCAAAATTTATCTTGAAGTTCTTTGCACTGTGTGGTGATGGGATGTATTTAGAAAGACTCAACTTTCTTCACGATGTTTTCGATGTCTAATCACAATTCATACATTATGAAATAAAATGTAAATTATGAGTTATGGATTTCATAAATATGCAACTTGAAAAGGTGGTCATGAAGCTTGGTGGTGGTGTTGAAAACCTTACTTTATTTTATCCTATAAACTACCATTAGTTATTGTATGTGTTAATTTTCTGAAACCTAATTAATCTCATTAGTTTTGAGCAGCATTGTGGAGTCAGAGTTGGACTTTTTGTTTACCAACTCCTCCACACTGGTTTTGAGTAATAAACCAACAACCAAACTTAATTAACCATTATATCAATTGCATAAATGTAAAAAACATTCTCTGACCACATTTGATTAAAACTACATGACTAATACTTTAAAGTATTAGTCATGTAGATTTTTACTTTTTTATTTCGATATAGCTTGATGGAAAAATTTTATTTTATGGCAGGATGATTCTCCTGTATCTTTGACTGCTTGAATGATTTATGAATACAAACCTGTCTTATTTCTAACTCAGCCATCACTATATAATATGTGGCATGATTAAAAAGTTCCAAGCTGAACCTGTAGCGACAAAAAGGGGCTGTTGCATGGTCTTGAGCATGCAGTGAGAAGCATGTGATGTTCTTGAGCCAGTATGCAAATTGTTGGAGATTTTGTTACACAAGTTTTTTGACAGTCCTATTGCACCTTTGCAATCTTGTTGCGGACTTGAAACTGGAGAAGAGAGCTAATGTCAAATTTGTGAGGAAAATTGGCAATAGAGACTGTAGAAATGCTTATGGAAGCCTATGGTAATGAAGCAATGAGTTAGCAGTGTTTCTAGTGGTACTCACAGTTCAAAAGAAGCAGAATGTCACTGGACACAGTAGAGGACATCCAGTATGAATTGCATATGGTGCTTGATGTTTGCAAAGAGGGGGACTTCCAGAGAGTATTGAAAGCTTTGCAGAAATGCCAGAGTCAATAGATGGATACAGAAGGTGAATAAAGTAAGTAGTTTTCTTCTTACATGCCCAGTCTCTGGAAATTTTTGATTGCACCTCATATAATTGAAGAAATTGTTCTCTCTTGTAGACCCTTTTACCACTGTAGCAATTTGGATGATATCTTTATAGAATTAATTGATAGGAACAGGGTATACAATCAATATTTAAAAGTAACACTAAAATATGAATGTTTACAAAAAAGGAAAGGCAACTTGAATTGTTTTTATTATTAACAAACTTTAGTATATACAAATTAATTTATTGATAATCAGTTTCTTTTGGACAAACAAAAATTTGTGCAACTTCATCATAGTCATAAGTTCTTTTTAAAAATGAATCTATCAAACGAATTCCGGATATAACCTAAAAATAAAAAGATTTTGATTTAAAAATTTTCAGATGACGAAATATACAGTATGAAATAGAGTATTTACCATCAGTCCCAAACGAATGGCAACAGCATTCAATTTGAGATCCAATGAAGAATACGGCTCGAATTTTCCAAGCTGTCTTCCAGTTACTCCTTGCCACAAAATACCATTCGAGCAGTGGGTATCCAGATTAAGAATCAAATCCATTGTTCTTTCGCTATAATTTTGAATTTTATAATTAATTGTCATTTCAAAATGTGCACAAGTCCTCGCTTAGCATCATCAAGGAAAGATACAAGCACATTTGTAATAATTTACAACCATTCTTGTTAAATTTTCTTTATAAACAGTAAAATTGGTTTCATCACATATTGTTTCCAAGACCCAACTGATGACATTAAGCAAGAACTCATCATATATATCAATTAATACAAGTTTATTATTTACCAAGAATTTGTTATCCTACAAACGATTTCAAAGGTACTTTCTAATGTCACTATACTTGGCAATTCTACAACTGTCAGTCTTATGTCACCATATCCTGGAGCCTATGGTTAAAATTGTTACTTAGAATAATTTTTTAATGTTTTATGTTAATTAAAAAATAATTACCATTCTTTCTAATTGAGACGTCTGCAACCTTCCTCTTTCTCCCATGCTCGATCTCCATATGATATCTAATTTACCAATGCTTGTGATACCTTTCATAAACTTTCCGTTAGTTCGAACGTCGGATTTCGGAGACAGACAAAAGAGATACTGCCTACTGTCCAGAGGATTGAGACAGTTAATATCTCCAAAGACAGAATGGGATCTAAATATAGAAAAATTTTTGATTAAAAATTGTAATTAATTGAAATTATTTTAACATAATTCTTAAATATTCAAATAACCCTTTAATTTTATTTGTTTTACTTAGCTACTTTCAGATAAAAGTACTATTTTTCTGTTACTAGTAAATGTGATAAATGTATGTTTCAAAGTTCAAAGTGCATGCACAGTGAAAAGTGCAATCTGTTTACACCCAAGTTGTCTCTTGCTCTTCTGTTTTGGTGTTTTTCCACATTTGTTTTGGTGCATTTGGTTATATAAATTTTGTGTTATTTCAAACTATTTCTTCCTGCAATTTTTCTTCATCCCATACATTTTGGAAAATTTTGAACTAAGAGATACAAATTGAATAAGTGAAATGTAGTTTTAAAAGTTATAAGTTTAGGAGTATCTTCCTCATACATTAATACACAACCAACCATCAACCGTAATAATCGGGCAGATTACAAGCAACAAATATTAAATTTGGAAATTATATGATAAGGCGTTAGACACATCTATTGATGAAAGTGGTAACTATGATTTTAGATTTTGAATTTAGTGTAGTCTGGAAGAAAAGAATCGGCCCAGAGTGGGAGTCAAACCCGCAACCTCTTCTTATCGTGCAGTGCACTGACCAGTTATAAACTGTTTTAAATTGTCCAGGTGGCATAACTGGTCAGTGCACTGCACAATAAGAAGTTGCGGGTTTGACTCCCACTCTGGCCAATTCTTTTCTTCCAGACTACACTAAATTCAAAATCTAAAATCGTAGTTAGGCACTATCTATTGATGAAAGTAGTAACGCCTTATCATATAATTTCCAAATTTAATATTTGTTGCTTGTAATCTGCCCGATTTGTTACGGTTGATGGTTGGTTGTGTATTAATTTATATTTATTGGGTTAATGTGATGTTGTGTTGTTGTTCCTCATATATATTAAAATTCTTTTACTGTTTGTACAGTGTTATATCCTTTTTATCCAAAGACATTTCAATTTGATTTTACTCGAACAAAATATGAAGTAAAATGTATTGTTTGTTTTGAAGCTTACTTTAATCTCACATCAGCAATAATGTGTTAAAAACACGCACAAACTTTGTTTGATCCAATGTAACCTTTACTTATGGCATTTGAGAAGTGTGTATGAGAAAGGTTGTAAAATCGACAGTTGAGATGTAAAAGGAACTTACCAAGGAGCATGAAAGCGGTATACGCATGGCAGATCTAGCAGCCATATTTAAGATACTGAAGTCAATGGTGTGTGACTAATTAATGCAATTTATTGGTCACATACCATCTGTATTTATGTATTTTATTTGTTTTCATGTTTTACTTTATTATTAAAGCATTCCATTGTGCATTTGGTATTTAAACAATATCCATTTTGATAATTTTAGTGTCTGGGAATGGATTAATTCACTTTCCATTATTTATAAAGGAAAAAATTAATTTGGAGTTGGAATGGCCTCCTGGAATGAATTTAATGATTAACCAGTACAGTAGTCCCTCGTACTTTTAATTTTAAATATCTGTATTCAACATTGTCCAAGAGATTTTCTTTACATATCTCACTTCCAAGATATAAGTCAAAATGTGCTGTAAGTAGTTTAAAAGTTTGTCATAGTCTGCATATATTTTGAGAATGGTTACTTTCATATTTATAAATATGAAAGTAAGTAGGAATGTATTTCATAATTGTTTGAGGAGATGATAATAGCAGCACATCTGGTTTTAATATCATATGACTTGACACTTAAAGAAGGACTTCGGCTGCACACAGTAAAGTTACTACTCCCTCCATGTTTAATATTGGTGTGCAGTTTTTAGGCTGCAAGGCCATGGTCCCCTGAAGTATCTAAAAGAAAACTCAAGTCTAGCGAACGCAGCCACATAAAGCTAAGAGTAGATGTTAGTGCCAAGTGGTTGTTGGTATGAAGGACTTATTACTACTATTAAGAAAATAGAAAACAGTGAGTCTTAATGCTAACTTAACTCTAAAACACACAGCACAATAAGAAACAAATAAAGACAACAACAACACTGATGATATGGATGGACCAACAGAAGACAAGCAAGCAAGCAAGACCTCAATTTTTATTACACAAACCTACCATAACCTAAACAGAAAGCTAATAAGCCCTAATCTAACTGTGACAAAGAACCTAAGCTTTACTAACACCAGAAAAAACTAATAAGACATACTTATCCTACTGAAAACTAACAGAAGCAAAGCAAGGAGATAAACTAGGTGGCATGGATGCCACCTGAGTGAGTACCCTCAAGGGCTCCACTGGGAGATATGAATGCAAGAAAGTGATGGAATATTTTTCGTGTGGGGTGCATGGTTGTTGCACAAATGAGTTGTCCCCTTCCAGAATAGTAGCTCTCATTAAGCTATCCCTAATGTCACTGTACCTATTGCAGTGGACCAAACACCACTTACAATGTGGATTGTCCCCAAGATTAAATCCATGCAAGTATTGCTTAAAATTGCTGTGACCAGTAAGTAATTGAGTGAGAGTATAACTAGGATAAAAATGGCTGAGTTGAAGTTGTGTCAACTTTGGGGATGAAAGTATGGATGAGCCTACCTGTAGTGTCATGGTCCCAGCTGTCTTGCCAGAGAATGAAAATTTGCTTCTTGGCGTGATTGTTAATGTAAGAGGTACAAATGTAGCTGAAAGTACTAGTGATTATAGACTTAGCAGCTTGTTTGGAAAGATGGTCAGCAGTCTTGTTGCTAAGGACCCATTGGAAGTCTATTCTAATGTTGTTGTCTAAGTATCTTGAGAATATGGTGGATATGATGGGCAAGTTTTCAGCAGCTACCAGGTTGTTCAATAAGTTTTGTCGTTCGATAAGAGGTGGCGCTACTAGGAGCGTCACTTTATTATTCTATAAATAGTACTACTATTTCATAAACACGTGTCAAGTTTCAAGTAGATCCGTCAACTCATTGTATATTTGCAGCTGTTCAAAGTCGACGTGTCATTGTATTTTTTTACGATGGAAAAAATCGAATATCGTGCAGTGATAAAATTCTTATTTTTGGAAGGTGTAGCACCAAAACAAATTCATGAACGATTGTTAAAAGTGTATAAGGACTCTTCACCTTCAATCAGAACAGTAGAAAGATGGGTTGCTGAATTTAAACGTGGTCGTACGAGTCTTGAAGACGATCCACGTGAAGGGCGTCCAAAAAGTGCATCAACACCAGAAATCGTAGCAAAAATACAGCATATGGTTTTGGAAGATCGTCGATTAACCGAGAGAGATTTAGTAGAAGCCCTAGGGATTTCGTTAGGCAGTGTGAGCAATATTTTGGCCGAAGTTTTGGGTTACAGAAAGCTGTGTGCACAATGGGTGCCGCATTCGTTAACTATGGAACAAAAACACATTCGAATGCAACTTTCTCAGCAACATTTGGAGCGTTTTAGAAAGGATAAAAAGGATTTTGTGCGTCGTTTCATCACTATGGATGAGACATGGGTCTACCACCATGATCCTGAATCAAAACAAGAGGCTAAAGAGTGGTGTGAACCCGGTACTTCGGCTCCGAAGCGTGTTAGGGTCCAGAAATCGGCCAAGAAGGTGTTAGCATCAGTTTTTTGGGATGCAAAAGGAATTTTGTTTGTGGATTACCTCCAAACTGGTAAAACAATAAACTCAGATTATTATTGTAACCTTTTGGACCAGCTAGATGTAAAAATTCGTGAGAAAAGACCTGGTTTAAAAAAGAAAAAAATCATTTTTCATCAAGACAACGCCCCCTCTCACACAGCTCAAAAAACCATTGCGAAAATCAGTAAATTAAAATACGAATTGTTGCAACATCCTCCCTATTCGCCAGATTTAGCTCCCTCTGACTTCTGGCTGTTCTCACATCTAAAAAAATTCATGCGTGGGAAACGATTTTCATCGAACGAAGAGGTAATAGCAGCCGTGGATGCGTATTTCGACAGTCTTCCGGATTCTCACTTTAGGGATGGAATCCATAAATTAGAAGATCACTGGAACAAGTGTATTGAAGTTCAGGGAGATTATATTGAATAATAAAATGTATTTCAAACCATAAAATCGTGTTTTTCTTATCGAACGACAAAACTTATTGAACAACCTGGTATCAGACTTTGCAATGCTGTGTAAAGCTACCCTACTGTTAGAATAGAGGCAATAGTGTAAGTAGTATCTTTGTCCTTTCTACAATTAATGTGGATTAAGCTCATGTAAATAGTTAAAAGTTTCAGCCTGTGCTATTGAGCAGCGTGGTCCTAAATGGAAGCAAGCTTCAGTAAGCTCATGGCCTAAGTCAGAGTAAATAGCAAAAGTGGCACCCATTTTGTCACCCATCTTGGAGTCATCAGTGTATATGTTAAACATGGGATGATCGTTAGGATCCTAGAAGATGACATCATGTGCAAGTTGATGAGGGATGATAATCTTAAATAGGGAGTTATTTTTGTCAAAACTGAATTTTTTGATATCTTCAATCAAGGTCAAACTGGGGGAATCTTACCTACTCTAATAATTTTGTCAACATCTAAGTCAATAGGGATCAAACATTACCTGACATTACTAAAATGGCATTAGTGGGTGAAGTAATGTATGCCTTGCAAATGTGAACAGCTGCAATTCTTTGGATGAATAACAGTTTTTGACGGTTATGGACATTAGTGGCCACTTGGCCACTAATGTCCATAACCGTCCAGACCTGTACAGCAGAGGATTGCTGACTTTATAGCGCCCCTGTAAATAAGTTTAGTTCTGTTGGGCCAAGACCCCAAGTGTTCCTAGCAATGCTAATTGGCCATCTTTTTTGCTTTGTCCGTAATGTATTTGATGTGGGGTGTAAATTTAAGTCTCTTGTCAAGAAAAACATCTAAATAATTTAATTTCAGTTTGCTTTATTCTGTGAGCACCTATACAAAGGGTAAGTTTCTTGACAAGTGGAGAGTTTCTACCACCTATGCTTAATACTTCACTGGTGAATATCATTGAGA